GTGGGCAACAAGTAAATTAGCTGTTCCTTCTGGTCCTGTTTCCCCATCTGTGACAGGTGGGCATGATAGGTGGGCTACGGCTCGCTGAGGTTCTAGGCTTAGCCACTGACTCGGTTAGCTGGTCGGAGCTAGGCCAGCGGGCTTTGACTGTAATGGCATAACAGGCTGTTCCAGTAAACCTTTCGAACCTAGGAGGGAATGGATTAAACTGCTGGAAGAGGTCAAGGTGCAGGAGATGCTCAAGTGCTGGGAGTCAGGCTTCCCAGTTCCTTTGGGGACGCAGCAGGTCAAAGTCGGGTTCTGGTCAAGTTGGAGAAAAAGCCGGAAGTCCCGGGAGTCCACTCGGAGCCGGGTCCTCCAGCCACATGACTAAACCTCTAGAGGCTGAGTTTCAGCACCGTGAGAGGGCGGAGTTTGGGGCCTCCAATGGCAGCGCGGGTGCTCTTCCAACGTAGCCAATCAGCGCAGGGAGACGGTAAAATTTAAACATCCACCCCTCCACCTCCTCCTCCGGGACCTGTCCTGAAAGCGTTTGTAGAAAGTGCGGCCGCTCACCCCGCCCCCAGCCGGGGAGGCGGGGAGAAAGGCGGGCTTTCTCTCGTATTCGCCTATCACGGCGCGCAGCAAGGGGAGAGGCGGGCGACCGCGCCAATCAGGGAAGCAGCCGGTGCTCTGTGGAGCAGTTGGCTACAGTTGTTGCAACTTTTTTCGAAAGCTGCGTTTCCCGGGAGATCCTAGGCGGTGACAGACCAGGGTCATGGCTAGAGGTATTTTCCCAGGTGTTCAGCGCCTGGGCTGCTGGGGTGGGGGTCGCGCTGGAGGGGGACCGGGGCGGCGGGAGGGGCGGCGGCGGCGGGGAGGCACCCTCCTGCGGGCTGCTCCGATGGAGCGCGTGGACCGGGAGGTGGGAGGTGTGGGACGCTGAGGAACCTTCCAGGCTCCTCATCCCCCGCTCAAGCCTCCAGAAGCCCCTCCCACTCCCGTGCCTCAGTTTCCCCTAAGTGTGGGCACAAGCAGGCCTGCCTGTGCAGAGGCAGCGTGTCCATATGTCAAAGCCCTTTGGAAAAGCGCAGGTCACCTCCAGGGAATGGTTGTCATTGCTGTCAAGACCGGGGCGGGCGAGGCTTCGCTCGCTCTGGGCCCTCTCTCTGCTGGGGAAAGGAGGTGACCCTGCGGCGAGGGCTCAGGTCGGGAACCCACAGCGTGGGGAGCGCGTCCGAGTGGACGCCGCGGCAGGCGCCTGCCTTCTGACCTCACGCCCTGAGTCAGCTCCGCGCCTCCGGGACAGGGACCCGGCCCCGCTGGTCCAGTTGGGGGTGACGCGCGTGCCCTGGCACCTCCCGGGGAGGCCCTTCGTTCCGCAGCTGGGCAGGGCTCCTGCCCATATGAGATGGCTTGGGTGGCAGGGACAGCACAGCCGCGGGAGGCAAAGCCCCTGCCCCCCGAAGTCCTTCTTTGCACACTCAGTTTGCAGTCAGGACAGTGAGACCCACATTATGCAGCCAAGTGATCCCCAGCTGCCCGTCATTTCTTCCAGCCGCTGCGTCTCCTTCGTGCAAAAATTTGAGCGTGATTGACGGTGGACTAGCATTACTATTTTTTAAAAATAAGTTGAGGTTTTACATTTTTCTCAATATTCCAAGGCATGGCATTTCAGTAGGAGAGCAAGAATAATGGATACAATAAGGACTCCTTGGGCAAACACTTATCGGGCCCCTCTGTTTTTCAGGCCCTGCACCCAGCTTATTCTCCCAGCGTCCCTCTAGGGTCTTTTGGGATAAGACTTACCCAGATTCTGGTTAAGAAATGAGGCATAATGAACTTCAAGTTACAGCGCTTAATAACTCAATCCACAGAGGAAATTAAGACGACTGTTTTTCTCCAGAAAAGTGTTAAGCATCTAAAAGGATATTAATAGTATCTGACTAATTTATCTGACAAACACTAATAAAATATGCTTCCCCAATTCATTTTCCCATCACAGTAAAATCATTTAATCTACCTATTTCAACAGTAGAGCATTTAAAAAAAATAGTTTGACTTAATTAATCTTTGCCGGGGGTGGAGGGGCAAAATGAAGCCCTTGGCCATAGAAATACTGAAATACTTCATATGGGCCAAATAATACTTACTAATTACCAATACTTAATAATTACCATTGAGGGCTAGGCACTTTATTATCTCAGTTAATCTCTATGAATGGTTATTTCCATTTTTCGGAGGTGGGAGCTGCAGTCCTAAGTCGCTCTCTAGCCCTTGTGCCTTTGCCGGTTCCCCGGCACCAATCTGAGCCAAAGAGGGCAGGGGCTCCCGGCCGCTACCGTGGTGGGCTTCTGTACCACCTTTGTAGCTTATTGGCTATTGATTTCCCCAGTCTCACTTGACCCCCAAATTAGTAGTTACTTATCTCTTAGGCTGCATTGCTCTTGCAAACTATTACATGGGGCACTGGGCGTCGTACATGCCAAATCATCTACAGCACTTCAAACAAGGGGTTCGTTGTTGTTGTTTGTTTTTGGGACAAACACCACTTTGAGAGGCCACTTGTAGTTCACAATGAGAGGCCCGCTGGGCCCCACCAACTACAGGTTCAGAGACAGGCAACTCCTCTCTGGTTTTGAAGTTCCAGAATTGTGTACACGTTTCCGACCTTGAGTGTGTCCCTCTGAGGAGGACCAGCCCCCGACTGCACTGTCAGAGGGCCTGCTTACTGGTCTCTCTGCTCTTCTGTCACCTCCTCCTGACCATCCCTCAGCAGCCAGGACACAGATTCTTACCACGCGGCTTCCACTCTGCCCCCACCCCCCGCCACCCCGTTGCTCTTAGGACCGTAGGCCCCGCCATGGCCCATCGGCCCGACCGACCGCTCTGTCCTCACTGCCCCGCATCGGCCTGTGTGTTCACCTCACCACAGGGCTGGACACAGACTAGGTCTTCAGAAAATGTTTGCAGAATCAGTGAATTGCCGGGTTAGTGTCTGTGCTCAAGGGAAGCGAAGTCCATCCCACCAGTAAACTGCCCTCGTGCGGCAGCACCGGGCCCAGAACCCGCGGCAGGGGAGGCTTCTCTTCCCCGAGCCTCAGTCTCTGCATCCGTAAAATGGGAACAGCACCTTCTCATACAGGGTTGGGGAGGCTCGACTTAATAATGCCTATGGCAGGCCCGAACTTCCAGTGACCATTCAGTAAGGGCCAGCTCTTGGTATCACGGCTTTTGAATTCTATTTCTGGGAGACCCTGGGCGACATTGAAGAGTTTTTCTTTCTGCTGGTGGGTGTATTTGTTATATGTACATAGAACACCTTGTGTACAGAGAAAGGAAAGACTGTTTTAAAACTTACATGGAATGACTTGCGTTAGAATTTCTAGGCCCCAGAGCTGCAGAGTGGCGAGGAATTGGTGCCAGACTTATGTTCACTGTATCCCCTACACCTGGCCGAAATAGAGAGCACTGTGGCCAAGGGTATGAGAGCATGGGGTGGGGCTTAAAGCAGTGTATGAAGTGGACGAAGTGCTTCCTGTTCTCAAACCGTGATTCTCCTAATAGTTTGGCAGCTGAAAAACCTTCCCTGCCCCGCAGATGTGACAGACGCCGTTTCGGATGGCTTCCTGAGTGTCCCTTTAGCATCCTCTTTCACTCTGAGCACGTCCTCGGCCTCCTGGTGTTCCAGGGGGCAGTGCAGTGGCTGGGGGCGGGGGTGTGGTCTCCTGCCCAGCCCTGCCCTGAAGGATGCTACACCCTGAGCAGATTTGAGAGGCTTGTTCCTGAGCAGTGTCCTGCCCATTTAATCCCACCGGGTCTTATTCCTTCTAAGGTGTAGCTACTTAAAGTGACAGCTATTCGTTTAACCTGTGGTTGTTTGAAGGCGCCCTGGCTAGGTCATGGAATTCAAGGTCTTTGACCTTTATCTGCGAGAACACCAAGGCCTAGACTGGGGCAGCAACTTGGCCTTGGTCGCAAAGCCCCTCTGGGCTGAGGCAGGGAGGGAAACCCAATCCTCAATCCTCGCTCCCTGGCCGTGACCCCAGCAGCGCCAGTGAGGTGCCCCAGAGGTGTCTTGTTTACATCTGACTTTGCATAAACACAGGGACTCCTTGGCCTCCCGCCCTGTGACTGCGGTGTGGTGGCCCTGGGCACTGAGCTGGGGGGGGATCCGACGCCAGCGTGCCTGGACCCCCTGCCTACTGAGCACTTGCTCCTGGGGAGGAAGCGCGGGGACAGGAGAACCTGGGGACTTGCTACACCCTTCTATAATACCTTGTGCCCCTCCCAACGGTAATCTCCTCATCTGGGACAAGGAAGGTAGTGGCTGGGAGTGTAGACTGTGGGGTCACTTGCCTGGAAACTCACTTGTGGTTCCAAGAACTTGGCTGCCCTGCTCATCTTTCTGACCCTCATTTTCCCGGTCTGTGGGAAAGAGATAACAACAGTGCCAGCCTTCCTAGGGCTGCTGCGGTGTTTGAGTGGGTTCACGAGCATGAAAGAAGACCCAGCAAACTTCCCGTTGTAAGCCTGGCTCTCTCCCCCGCAGGGTCTGTACCTGTCAAGTACAGACCACCTGGGGTTGTCACTTTCCAGTTCTATGTTCTTGGGCAAGCCCCTGCACCTCCCTCGAGTCTCCGTATCCACGTCCTAAACGGGTTTGCTTCAGCACCTGGCCCCATGGGCTTGCGGGAAGGATCAAATGCCCACAAAAACGCTTCGTGAGCCCAGGCTCCGGGGCACGCCGCTGCTGACTGCGCCTGGCACGGACGGGTCTCCCAAAATATCCGTGAGCCAGCGAACTAACCGCCTGGCAGGCAGGGAGCCTGGGCTGTCATTCTCTGGTTACCCACCCCTTGCCCGGCGAGTGGCTGAGGACACGCGCGAGGGGGCGCGCCCGAGTCGGGATTCGTCATGGCCGCGCGGCCCGCCCTGCCTCCCTCCCCCGGAGCCTCGCAGCGCCGCCCCTGCCAGCCCCTCCCCGCGCCGGGAGCCGGACGGTGGGCGGTGGCAAGCGGGCAGACCGCGGAGGAAGTGCCGCCAGCGCCTCCCTCTCTGCGTCCTCCATCCCAGGCCGGCCGGGGCTGCCGCGGCGCGCGGGTGCCGGGCCCTGCCTCGCAGGCCATGGGGGAAGGGGGCGCCGTGGGGCGCCGCCGGCCCTTCCCCGGGGCGCCGCGGCGGCGCTGGTGGCGGCGGCAGCAGCAACAGCAGCGACAGCGGCAGCGGTGGTGGCCGGGCCGCAGCGAGGGCGCCGGGCGCGCCGCCATGGGCCTGGCCGGGCTGCAGGTGGGTGTGTCGGGCCCGGCCGCGCGGGGGGCGGGCGGCGCGCGGGGCCCGGCCTGGCCGGGCGGCGGGAGTGCTACGCGGGGCCCGGCCTGGCCCGCCGGCCTGCCCCTGCCTCCGGTGGTGCGGGCGGCCCATTGCCGCCGCCGGGCCCTCGGAACATGGCTGCGGCGGGAGGCTCCGCCGCGGCTCCCGGCCCGGGCGGCCCCGCTCCCCGCCCCGCCGCGCCCTGAGCGCCCCCTCCCCCGCTTCCCCCGGGTCCCCCTCTCCAGGCAGGAAGATGTCCAAGCCCCGCGCGGTGGAGGCGGCGGCGGCGGCAGCGGCGGTGGCGGTGGCAGCGACGGCCCCGGGCCCGGAGATTGTGGAGCAGAGGGGCCCGGGGAGGCCCCGCACCAACGGGGTAAGCAGGCACCCTCCCCGCACTCACTCAGCGCGCCCCGAGGGCCGGGCGCCCCCGCAGCCCCGCTCCGCAAGCACGTGGGCTTGCCCCGCGGCCCCCGCCCGCCGCCCTGGGGCTGGGATGCGGGCGGGACGCCCAGCCGGGCAGCTTCCTTTTCTGTTGCCTGCCTGGGAGTGGCGTCCACCCTTGCTCCGCCATGACCCGGGCTGTGTTTGACCTCGGAAAAGTTTGTGTCTTTATGGCATTTCCACACCTGAGACCCAGCTACTCCCGAGGTGGCTGACTCCCCGGGGTGTGCGGTGTCGCTGACTCGGTGTTGAATAGCTCCCCAGGCAGAAAGGCCCCAGCATTGTTTCTGGGGAGCTCTCCTGCGGGCTGTGCTTACTCAGAGGTGAGGCACCACAAACACCACCAGCGGTGACCTGGCTACCCCACCCGCCTGCCCACCCCCGTTAGTGCCAAGGTGCCATTTGCAATAGAGTGACGCCCTGAATGCGCTGGCAGCAGGCCCTGCTTTCATTAGCACCCCACCCCCCACCCACCCGCAGTTACCCCAGAGGATTCCAGCCGCAGTCCCGTCTGCGGTCCCGGGAGACTGCTGGGCTGCTTTGGTTGGAGAGAGGGGCCAGACCTGGGCACACAGAAGGCCCGGCCGGTTGTGACAAGCCCTACCAGCTGACCTCTAGACCAAGAAGTGGTTAATCAGCTTCCCTGAGGCCTGTTGCCGCGCCAGCGTCCCTGCGGCTCCTGCCCACAGGCCAGCCCTCCCCGGTCCTCTTTTGTCCACTCCCGGTCCTTCCGACTTCCCTGCTGCTGGTGGGTTTCTCCGCCTGACAGAGACCTTTGCGTCGGCTGGTTCTCCCACTGGCCAGATGCCCCCTTAGTGACCAGAACTCGAGACCACATTTGTTCAGGAAAAAGCCGACTTGGCCCCGGGAGGTTCAAAACCTCCCGCTGCCCTGCCTGGGCTGGCGGCCCCGGTAACCCTGCTTCGGAGAGACGGTGACGTCGGGGTTTTGTCTGTGTTCTGCTCGCCCCTTCTGCCCGAGACGCTGCGGGACCCCCTCCTGACAGCCGCTTTCAGAGTACGCGTTTGTCGTTCTAGGAGAATGTGTTCACCGGGCAGTCCAAGATCTACACCTACATGAGCCCGAACAAATGCTCTGGAATGCGTTCCCCCCTTCAGGAAGAGAACTCGGTGGCGCACCACGAAGTCAGATGCCAGGGGAAGCCATTCGCCGGAATCTACCGGAGACGGGAAGGTAAGCCTCCGCGGCGGCCCCGCGCTGCCCACGGCTGGTCAGGCTGCGCGGGAGCCTCTCTCTGCCATCAGCACACGCCTCTAGTACCTTTTAGTCCAGCCTGCTCACACCCGGGCCCGGAAGGAGCCGTGTTTTCGGCTGTTGCTAAGGACCACAGGCCCAGGGGAGAGGGCGGCCCCTCCCAGGGCGTGCGTGCTGTTGGTCTAACAGGTTCTCCTGCTTTCACAAGAGTCGGCATGTCCCTCAGGCGTGATCGCCCTGCCGAACCACAGCTATAACACCCCTGAGTTGCTGTTAGAGAGGCTCACGGGCGCCAGCGTGCAGAAATTACGAGTCTGGGTCGAACACACCAGACGCCTGTGTTCTAACTGTTGTGTGAACACCAGGCCCTGACTTCCTTCCCTTTTATGAGCTGGCCTTGACCTCATTTCTGAAGTTTCTTTCCAGTCATGCGTTCTGGGCTACTCTCTAAAGAACATAGTCTGCAGTGACTTAAAATATTGAACAAGACAATGTATGGCCACTGAAAGTTCCCTCCGGCCCCCGAAAAACAAGCCGAAGCCGGCCGGAGAGCCGGGGATCTGCTCTCAGCCGAGTAGTCCCTTTCCAGGCGGCCCTGGGGTGCGGGGGCTCTCCCCAGTCACCCCGCTCCCTTCTCGTAAAAGTCGCCTCAAAGGAGCCACTCCATACAAGGGAGCCTTGTCTTTAATAACAGGAAGTGCCGTATGTGATAGGTTAGGCCAGCCCCAGGGGCCAGATCTGAGAGCCAGGGGCCGCGGCCAGCCCCGCCCTGATCCGCCCAGGGTGATGCTGTTTTGGTGGTCTTCAGACGACCGGGCGGGGCTCGAACCGGCGCTCTGCCACTGCTGGGGAGCAGGCTGGGGCAGCTTGCCCGTCTGTGAAGTGGGAGAACTCAGGGCTACTCTGGAGAGCAGTCAAAGCATGGGCGCCAAAGGGCCTTCCCGGCAGCCCGCCCTCTGCCGGACTTCGAGGTCACCCTGCTCCTCCCTGCCCAGGGAGGCCTTAAGGCAGCCCCTTCCTTGGAGGGACGGGGTGGGGGAGGGGCGCTCACTACACGTGGCCAGCCTGTCTCGTCCCTTCTGGAGCGGGTGGGATGTTAAGGTCCTCCGCGGTGACGTGGTGCCCAGCCAGGCTCCTTTGGCTCCGACAGAGACTAGATGGCAGCGAGTAGCGTTTTGGGCAGGGTGTGCTCTGGAGGGGACTCCAAGGGCCAGGCTCCCAGTCTGGATCCTCAGCCTTTGTGCTGACGGCGGACGTTCACAGCACCACACTCCTGGGCCCGTGCCTGACGTCCTGGCCCTCACTCCCTCCGGTTCCACTCCGGAGGGCGTGGGCGGGAGTGAGGGAGGCCTGGAGGGGTTGTGATGCATTTGTTGATTTTGCATCGCCCCAAAGGAAGCCCGGAGTTAGCCGCTACGCCCCATGTCTCCCCTCCCCCAGCCCCAAGCCCCTACCAGTCTACTTTCAGTCTCTATGGATTTGCTTGTCATGGACGAGTCCTGTAAATGGAATCCCTTAACACATAGCATTGTGAGCCGACCTCTTTCACTGAGCATCATGTCTTATTTCCTTTTCTTTACGTTTTTTAATCCATTGATTTGAGGGAGCAAGAGAGAGAGAAACATCAATTTGTTATTCCACTTATTTATGCATTCATTGCTTCATTCTTGTATGTGACCGAGGATCGAACCCACGACCTTGGTGTATCAGGACGACGCTCTAACCAGCTGAGCCGCCCAGCCAGGGTTATGTTTAAGTTTATGAAAAACTGCCAGACGCTTCTCCAAAATGAGCGCACCATGGTATATTCCCGCCAGCCAGGTATCACTGACTTATTATTTTTTTTTAAGTAAGTCATTTTTTTTTTTGTTTTCCTGGCTAGTGTAGCTCGGTGGATTGGGCATGGGCCTGTGAATCAAAGGGTTGCCAGTTCAATTCCCAGTCAGGGCACATGCCTGGGTTGCAGGTCAGGTCCGCAGTAGAGGCTGCTTGAAAGGCAACCATACACTGATGTTTCTCTCCCTCTTTTTCTCCCTTCCTTCCCCTTTCTGTAAAAATAAACAAATATATATTTTTAAAGTAAGGCATTTTTTAAAAAGGGGCTCGCTCCCCAGCCCTGAGCCTCCACAACTGTTTCAGTAACAAACCATTTTCGACGCCCCTGCCTCTCGGCGCCCTGACCGGTGTCGCGGCACTGCGCTGCTGAGAACTGGGTGACCGCCCAGCTGGGACCCCACTAGAGGCGGGGACTGTGAGGCGCCGTGCGCAGGCGGCGCCTGGGGAGGAGCCTCTGCTGGGAGCCTGCTCCCGGCCAATGACACTGGCTCTCGCTTCGCGAAGCTCGCTTTTTCCTGGGGGCCTGCAACGCTGGTCCTGAAAGCTGTTGGCCGGGCGCTTGTGCCGGGATGGCTGCCTGGTGCTTCTGCTTTGGGGTCTAACCCCCTCCAGGTGCGGAAGACCAGACGTGTCAATGAACTAGACCCACTTAAACACCTCGCTCTTTGTCGGTCACATCTCAGGGAAGCTGGGGAAGAAGGCTCTGCCCGGCGTCTGGGTCCAAGGTAGAGATAGGGGACCCGCCCCCGGTAGCTGGTAGCGGACGGACACCGGGCCGAGTGGGCCGAGGGCACGCCTGCCCCGCACACCCACGCCCCCGTCCTAGCGCGCAGCTCGCGGGCTGGCAATCCGGAGACGGCGCCTAGAATAAAGCTCCTCTCCCCACCCTCTGCCTGCAGAGAAGAGAACCACGGGAAACACCATCCGAAGCACCATGAAGTCCGAGGAACTAAAGATCAAAGACGCCAGGAGAGGCCCCCTGGCACCTTTTCCAAACCAAAAATCTGAAGCAGCAGAACCTCCAAAAACCCCGACCTCGTCTTGTGACCCCCCCAACGCGGCCCTGGCCAAGCCGGCCCTGAAGAAGCCCGGCAAGGGCAAGCAGGCCGCGCGCAAGAAGTAAGAGCTCCCGGAGCCCCAGGGCCCTGTGGTGGCGCGGTCTTCCCCAGCCCCTCGGAGTGTGCCGGGCCGCCCCCCAACCCCCCTCCCAACAAAGGCTCCCCTCTCTCGAGTCACCCCCAGCGGCCCCAGTACTTGCCAGCATCTCAGTCTGGCGTGTGTCTGTCCAAAACCCAAGCGCTCTCCCCTCCCCACGGAGAGAGGTGGCCTGTCTCCGAGACGTCCCACGTGACCACAGGTGTTCAAGTGACACGGTTTCCAGGGAGCTGCCCCTCGGGAGCTGTGTGTCCCCCGGTGCGAGTGTGGTTTTCTCTCCCCCTTCCCCCACCCCAGAGCTCCAGGAAGGACGCAGCAGAACCGCAAACTCACAGATTTCTACCCGGTGCGGAGGAGCTCCAGGAAGAGCAAAGCGGAGCTGCAGGTAGAGTCCCTGGCGCGTGGTTGTCACGCCAGCTCCCCGAGGGGCAGGGCAGCGCGGCGGGCGGCACTCGGCGTGCGGACTGAGCTGTCCCTTCTGTCACCTGGGGCGAGCACCCGCCTCTGTGGCCTCAGCCGGCTCCCTGGTCTAATGGGGGCCATCACCACGCTCGGGGTCACCGTGCGGCTGGGTTAAGATGCCCCTGGAAGGAGCCTCGGAACCTGTGGATGGGGAGCCAGGCGCTGCCTTGGGGGCTTTTCCGGAACTTGTGGGCAGGGCCGGGGAGCCTGGGACCACAGGAAGGCCTTGAGCTTCCAGAGGCCGGCCTGGCCTGGCTGCCGTCCGGCAGTCCCCGCACTGGGTCTCGGGTGGTACAGTGCTACGACTGGTCGTGTCGCCCCGGGCCAGTGTCTAGCCTCCCTCTCTCTAGAGCGAGAAGAGGGAGCATCTTGTGGGGTCGCTGGGAGGATTAAATGCCAATGCACTTAGAACTGTGCCCGGCACACAGTAGGTGCTGTGTTCCCCCGGCATTGTCACGTCTCAGGGCTCCTCTTTGGTCATTGCCACCCGGCCATGGGCCCTGAAAAACAGACAGGAAGGCCAGCTGGACGGGGCCCCGCCCGCTGCTGTGTTTGCGGAGGCCATTGGCATTTAATGCTGTGGGAGGTGGTTAGCGCCTGGCCACGGAGGAAAGCCCGGGCCTGGTCAGCCCTATAGCCACTGGCTGCTTCCCCCCAGTGGCTTCCTCCCACACACCCAGAGCCCCCCGAAGGTGGTGGAGGAGCAGTGCTCAGAACTGCCACCCCCTTGGGGAGCTGGGAGACCCATAGCGCACTGGTCTCCTTCAGCGATTTTTGCGTTAAATCTGCGGGTGCAGGTATGGCAGTCCGGCGTGCCGTTCCTCTCTCTTTCCTTCGCGTGGGCGGGGCCTCGTTTACCAGGAAAACCAGACGAGGGTCCGTGCGCTCCCCAGGGAGCAGCCGTGGCTCTGCGTCCTCGGGAAGGTGTGTCTTGGGCCCAGAGCAGCTGCGTGGTCATCTCGGGGGGGCTGTGCTGAGTCGGTCTGGGAGGCAGCGGTGAGGAGGGCGAGGCCGGGGTTGAGGTGGTGGCAGGGTGGCAAGCAGGCCCCAGAGCCCAGACGCTCCCAGCGCCCGCGGGCCCCCGAGCGCCCACGCAGGGAGGCCCTCCGCGCTGCAGGGCGGGGCAGCTGAGTTGGCCTTTTTAACAAAAAACAAGGGCTTTTCTGTCCAGGCAGTGAAGGCCGCGATGGGCCGTGATGCAGGTTTGCTGCGCCTTGCAGCGGGCGCGCGCAGGGGGCGGGCGCCTGCCTCCCCAGAGCTCGGTCCACAGCCCAGAGAAGCCACTCTGTCCCTGGACGGAGAGCCGCGCCGCGTCCTCCGTGTTTGTGTTGGCACCGCCCGGCAAGCGCCGGGGCCAGGCGGAACTGGCCAGGCAGTGGGCCGGGGTGGAGTGCTGGCCTGCCTGCCCTTCCAGGCAGCGGGAACCGGGGCCCAGGCGGATGAGCTGTCTCCAGGGGTGTGGGCAGCCAGGGCTGACACTGAGATGAACGGCCTGGCCGACTCTGGGTCTGAAGATGGCTTGGGCGGGACCAGGGCCAGGGCAGGAGGGTGGGACCTGGGCCTTGGAGAGCCGCCCTGAACGGAGCGTTGCCAGGCCAAGGGGGCTCTTGGCTGGCTGGCCTGGTGGGGTGGGGGGGGGCAGGGGGTGACAGCCAGCACAGGGGCCGGGCTGCACTGGTTAGCCGTGCCCCGGCTCCATCCCCAGCCCGGCCCTGGGCCCAGTGCGCACCGTACAGCCTGGGGACTCCCCAGCCCGGCCCTGGGCCCAGTGCGCACCGTACAGCCTGGGGACTCCAGCCAGGGATGTTTGACTTTTGTCCACTGCTGCTTGGTCTGCCTCTGGGACCGCGGTGGGTCTAGGAAGCCCCCAGCTGGGTGGAGACATGCCCCGACCACGGGGCCTTCAGAATGAAACTCGATCTCTTTGGCTCTGCCTGCGGGACCTCGAGCCGGTCCCAGTTTCCCTCCGCCCATCCCTCGGTGCCACGCTCAGTCATGGCAGGAAACGCCCCGGCCGTCTGCCGCGGTGTTGCTCCTGTTACTCCATGGACCCAGCCCTCCCCCGCCACCCCCCCCCCGTGCCGCTCCTCCCCAGGCTGCACCCTCCTTCTTCAGTAATGAGTCCACGTTGTTGGGGGCTGGGGGGGTGGGCGTTGCTTTGAGGGCTGATGTGCCGGTGCTCTTCTGGGCCAGGAGATGCCCCAGTCCATGAGACCAGGAGCAGCTTATAAAAACAGCCAGAAAGCAAGACAGTTTCGGGGAGCCCTTGGACTCGAGGAAAGCAGTAGTTTGGTCGTGCGGCCAGGCCAAAGCTACTTGAGCCAGGGTGGCCAGGGACGTTCCTCCGAGGGAGTGCCTTTCGAGCAGAGCCCGTGTGCAAGGGAGGAAGCAGGCCAGGGGAATGGGTTGGGGGAAGGGCACCCCAGGGTTGGGGGGGGGCACGTGCAAGGGCCCTGCGGCAGGAGCAGGCCTGACCCAGGCCAAAGTGCAGGGGCGGGGCTCCGGAGGCCAGGCCTGGTCTCTGTGGAACGGGAAGTCACGGGAGCCCCAGAAGTCACAGGAACGGGAAGCCACAGGCCGTCAGAAAAACAGATTCCATCCCTGTAGCAGGAAAGTCTCGCATTTTTGCTTAGATGAAGTTTTAGTTTGGGGATGATTTTCTGCATTTGCAGAGGAGTTGCAAGGACAGTACGGAGTGTCCCCGTAGGCCCTTCCACAGTCTCCCCACTGTTACGGTTGCCACGCTAGGGGACACCGCTGCTGGCACAGAAGTGCAGGGGTGGGTGAAAGTAGGGCATTGCGAGGACTTACCAGAAGGCCTTGGGCAGGAGGGAACGTGAGCTCACCTCATCTCTGGTTCTAAAGGACCCCTGTGGAAGCTGCTGTGTGGACAACAGAGTGGGGGCAGGGCGGAGTGGCAGCTGGGAGTGCAGGTGGCTGCAGGTGTCTGGGCGGCACCGGCGGGCTCAGCTGCGAGGCTGCGGGGGACATGGGGAGCAGCTGGGCTCGGGGCTGTCCCAGGTGGTGGGGTGGGGGGTCTCCTGCAGTGCCCGAAACCCCCTCCTCAGGTCGCAGAAACCTGGTCTTGTTCACCGCTGTGTCCGCAGCGCAGACTGCAGGCACTCAGTAAACCCCAGTGGACTGGTGACTAGAAAGGTCCCCCGTGGGCCGCAGGCGGTCTCCACTGGCTGAGGCGTTGCCGCAGGTGGGCCCTCTGTGTGGGGAGGGTCCGAGCTCCGCTGCCGGTGGTGGCCCTGCTGCTCCCACAGCTCCCACAGTGCTGCCCACTGTGGTGGGCTGGGGCCCCTGCTGTGTGTTTGTTCGGCTCCCTCCAGCTCCCCCACATGCTGACCGAGCAGTGGGGCCAGGGCCCAGGGTGGAGGTGGGGCCAGGAGGGGCGGCCCCCGGGACAGGTGAGCCCAGAGCATCCCCTCCTCCCCAGCCTCTGCATCAGGGCGGTGTGGACTCCTTGAGGTCGGGCCCCCTTCCCAGCCGTGCCCGTCTCTTGGGCGCAGCCCGCGGCCAGCCCTGGCGGTTTGGCGTCGAGTCGGAGTCTTCTCTGAAACACGCCGCGGTCCGAACACGGCCCCCCCCCCCGCCCCCCCGCCCCGATTCTGCCTGGGCCACCTCTGTGTCCCTCCTGGCCCCGGGTGAACCCCAAGCAGCAAAACAGTCCACGACAGACAGATGGGCAGTGAGAAAGGGGGGAGCTTGGGGGGCTCGGGCACCCTTGGGGACCGGTGTCACGGAGGCCAGCTGTGGGGGACCTCGTGGCGTGGCCCAGGCGGGCCCAGCGTGGCCGGGGACAGAAGGCTGACTCCGGTCTCGTTTCCTTCCCAGTCCGAAGAGAGGAGGAGGATAGACGAGCTGATCGAAAGCGGGAAGGAAGAAGGAATGAAGGTAAGGGCGGCAGGGCCCGGGTGGGGGCTGAGGACCTGGTACGCTCAGGGTCAGGGCGACGGCAGGAGGCTGTAACCCGCCTTTGGGTGAGCACTAGCTAGTCGGGCTGCGGGGTCGTCGTGGCGCCCGGCGCCGAAACCCTCGTCCAGGCCCCGTCTGGCGAGGGAAGCAGGTGGGCGGCGTCTGGGAAATGCGGCCCCAAGGGGACGTTTTATAAATCGGGTTCAAGCACACGCAGCATGCAAGTTGGGGTGTCGGCCACGTCACGGTCTATGGCGAAGGGCGCTCCGCACACTCGGTGCCGTGCGGGCGCCGCCCGTCCGCTTCCACAGCCCGTGTCCTCGTGGAGGGACGCCCGGTCCCCGCCCGCGGCCCCTGCCCGGCCCCCGGCACCCGCGCTCTGCCGCCCGCCGTCTCCACGGGTGGCCTGTTCTGGACGTTCCGTACAGACGGCACCGTCGAATAGATGGCTGCTGTATCTGGCTCCTTTCCGTCAGTACGATGGATGCCTGGGCATACTTTTCAAAGGAGAAACGAATACGTTTTTCCCAAACTCTGTTTTTCTGGGAAATGGCAGTGCCCACGAAATACACTTTTCTCTTGATAAATTTCAAAGACGTGTGGGCGGACGAGAAGGGAGGCGCTCTGGTGGCCAGACGGGTCTGGGTGGGAGTCAGGTCAGAAGGCCCAGGGCTGTGCCGGTTTTGGTCTGTCAGGGCCGGGGGTGGGGGGGGGCGGGGGGGGGCGTGCTGAACGCAAGTCTGGGCCCCGGCCGCAGCGCCTTCCCCTGCGTCTGTACCCGGGTGAGGAGGGGCCCGGGAGGGTGCGTTTCGGCATAAAGGAGAGGCTCAGAGCACTGGGTCCTGCTGCCCTCCAGAAGGCCGCCTTAACCCTCCAGAGGGTTCGGTCTACGCTACACCGTGTCCTAGCCGCGTGGCCTTGGACATGGCCCTGCCTCTCAGCCTCAGTTTTCTCACCTGCACGATGGGGAGACACCCACCTGAGGGCAGACTTCTCAGGAGGGGTGGTGGGTCGAGGCCACAGTCGCACATCTGTGTACGTTTAATGCGTGTCCTGCCGTCCTGCCCGTGTAAAGCGAGTGGGCTCTACGGCGGACCGCGGGAAAGCCAGTCATGGGAGCGGTGCGGCCCCGGGCACCCTGAGCACCCTGGCACCCTGAGCAGGCCACACGTGGCGGCATCTGGCTGTGACGAACCAGCTTTTTCTCTGTCTCCTCGCCTCCCGGCAGATCGACCTCATCGACGGCAAAGGCAGGGGCGTGATCGCCACCAAGCAGTTCTCCCGGGGCGAGTTCGTGGTGGAGTACCACGGGGACCTCATCGAGATCACTGACGCCAAGAAGCGGGAGGCTCTGTACGCACAAGACCCCTCCACCGGCTGCTACATGTACTACTTCCAGTACTTGAGCAAAACCTACTGGTGAGTCCGAGGGCGCTGCGCGGGGCGGAGAGGACGGGCCTCGCGGTGCGCGGTGGGTTTCCCAGCGCTGTGGAGCCGCTCTCCCCCTTCTCCTTCTTCACCTTTGGGGTCGGAGCTGTGCTGGAGGCGGCCGGGGACCGGTCCCGTGAGCGGGGGCTCCGAGGCTCACCTGGCCTCCCCCTCTCAGGGCATGTGGCCAGGGCGGCTCTGCAACTCGCCGGTTGCTCCGTCCTCCATATGGCCAGTGCAGCTGATGGCTTTTTTTTTTTTTTTTTTTTTTAGCAGACTCTGTTAGAGCAGGTTAGGTTCCCAGCAGGATGGAGTGGAAGGGACGGAGAGTCCCCACACTCCGTGGCCCACGCGCAGCCTCCCCCACCCTGCGGAGCGGCCTCCCATTCAGTGCTTTGTTGTGGAGAACCCCACTGCCCTGCTCCCGGGCCTCCACAAAGAGCCCTTTGCATTCCCGCCTCCTCCCCCCCGCCCCACCCAGCCAGACACCCCAGCCGGTGGTGCCCCTCCAGGCTCTTAAAGACAGTGTTTTGAGTCAAATCGCTTCCCCCCAAACGGGGCCATACATCAGCCTCCCCGCCAAGGCGAGCGCCCTTGGGGACCCGGCCGCGTTCCAGAGCCTCTTCATCGCCGCACTAACCCACCCTCTGTCACCCGCCCTCCCCCTCCCCCCACCAGCGTGGACGCCACCCGCGAGACGAACCGCCTGGGCAGACTAATCAATCACAGCAAGTGCGGGAACTGCCAGACCAAGCTGCACGACATCGACGGCGTGCCTCACCTCATCCTCATCGCCGCCCGCGACATCGAGGCCGGGGAGGAGCTCCTGTACGACTACGGCGACCGCAGCCGGGCGTCCATCGAAGCCCACCCCTGGCTGAAGCATTGACCGCCCCTCCCCTGCCCCGCCGTGGACAAAGTGCCCTCGAAGGGAATTGATTTTTTTTTTTTACACACACTTAATCTTAGCAGATTACTTCAGATGTTTTTAAAAAGTATATTAAGATGCCTTTTCACTGTAGTATTTAAATATCTGTTACAGGTTTCCAAGGTGGACTTGAACAGATGGCCTTATATTACCAAAACTTTTCTATTCTAGTTGTTTTTGTACCTTTTTTGCATACGAGTTGGACGCCCTGGACGCCCGGGCTTCCCGTGCATGCGGGCCAGAGGCTCGGCGCGGGGTTTCCGAGGACAGAGTCGCACGCGAGCTGCGGGGCCGGGTGCCGCTGCCGCCCCCGGCCGCAGGGCCAGGACTCTTCCCCGCTCCCCGAGGTCCGAGCGCCGGTGGCCGGGAAGGCGCAGCGCCCCCCGGCGGCCTGGACGGGATGTAAGCTCTTGTTTCCCTGATGTCTCGCCAGGCGCACATGGAAGTGTATGAATATTTTTTAAAAGGGTTTCGCAGTACGTTAGTCTTCCCCTCTGCTTTCTCGAAAGCTTGCCGCCCTGGTGGCCCCTGGGCACGGGCTGGGCCTAGGTTTACTCTTCCACGGGCCGCCGCCGTGCTGGCACCCGGGAGCGCCGGGGCGGCCGTCGAAGGAGTCGTAGGCAGGGAAAAGCGTTGCTTAGCTGGCCCTGCCAGGGCAGGGCTTCCCAAAACTGGGGTGATTCTTTATAGAAATGTGAACACTGAATTTATTTTAGGAAAGTAATACAAATTAAAAAAAAAACAAAAAAGATAAAAAAAAGAAAAAACCACAGAAAACAACTTACATGTACATAGGTCTTCAAGTGAGTGGAGTGGCTGCATTTTTTTTCTTTTACTTTTGGTTTGGTTTTTGGTTTGTTTTTGTAGAGGAGATTTGAGATGGTACTCTATTCTAATCAAAAAATAAGTTTTGTAGTGGGACCAGAAATTACTTATCCAGTACCCCCTGCCCTGCCCCGCCCCCCGATTCTGCTGGGTGGAAAGTTCCAGACCTGTTGTCAGGCTTTCTGTGTGTCAGACCACCTGGTGTCCTTCCTGCGAAGTGCAGGCCGTGCAGCCCTGAAGCGCAGGCCGCCGCCCCAGGGCGGTCAGTACCCGGGGATCAAGGCTAAGGGTATAGCGGTCACCTTGACTGTGACATCAGGAGGAGTAAATGGGCAGCTGCCTCCTCCTTCCAGAAGGGGGACTGGTTCTCACCCTGTTAACCTGCGGTCCGGGGTCTGGGCCCTGGAGCCGTGACCTGGGCCCCCTGGCGCCCCCCTGGACCCAGGTGACTGTGAATGGAGACAGGTGTGAGAACCCCCCTCCAGCCCCTCATCCGCGCCCCCCCCACCCCGCCCCCAGCCTCATGACGGTGCTACCTAAGGAGTCTTCCCCCAGCCCACACTTGCCTGGTCAGTGGTCAGCCAATCGGAGGAGGATCCGACGGAGTGTGTCAATGTGAGATAGAATGTCTTGGTTGTACCTGTTTGTGGTTTAGCTTTGTATTTAAAAAAAGGAAATAAACTTGAAAATTATTTGTCATCATAAAAAATGAAACAAAAATTAAAATATTTATTGCCAGGCAAGGCTACCCGTGTGTCTGTTTTTTACCAGGTGGAGGCAGAAGACCATTGGGTCTCCAGTTTTGGTGACCGTCCTGTGGGACAGTCACTTCATTTGCATGACGGGGTCACTGGGTGCTTGTGAGGATGAGAAGTTCCTGTACATTGAACCCTGAGAATGGGACCTGGCTCACAGTAAACATGAACGTGAGCTCCGTGGTTGTCACTGGTTTCCAAGGCACGAGGCTTGGTCTCGGGCACCTCCGGGTCATCCCGGTGCTGCAGTGCCCCCTGCCAGCCCCGATCCGTCCCCGCTGCACACCCCACCACCCGCCCCGGACAGGCCGTTCCCTTGGCCCCGGGCTCTGGCAGCAGATGGGCCCTGTGGGTGGAGTCCTTGGTTTACAGGCGAAACACCTGGTTCCCGCACCATCTTGGAGAGGTGGTCAGCCCGTCGCTGTGGACAAATCACTTACCCTCTCGGAAAGCTGACCACCAGGTGGGAACCGCCTCCGCCTGCCCGGTTGCCGGGTGTCGCCCGGCGTCTGCTGGAGAGTCTTGTCGCATCCTCACCACCTTAGAGGTTGGCTGCCAGCCACCGTGGGTGGGCCGTGGGCCGTGGGGCCGGTGCCATGGAGGACTGGTCCCAGGGCTGGGCTTCAAGCGGCGGTCCCGGGACCCGACCCCGCTCCACAGTCCTGCGAGGCGTGCCGCCCCTCCCCCACCCCTTCTGCACCCTCGCTGTGCCTGGTCTGGTCCGTGTGCTTCTGCAGTAGGCACACCCGTTTGTTTCCCCAGTCGGCCGTCACCCCGAAGGGCAGGAACCCCCTGCCCCACACTGAGGGAGGAGAGTACTCAGTCAGGGCCGCGGTGTCCCGTGAAGTCAGGGGTCGGGCGCCTGACCTGAGCACGTGGAGGCGGTATTCTGGACCAGACTCTCTCTGCATGTCGCTGGCCCTCCTCCAGGGCCGGGCGGCTGAAGCCCCGTTGTCTGTGGAGCCTGCACCTGCGCTCATGCCCTGCCCCCACCACCCTCTGGCTGGGGGCTGGGACCTGGGACGGGATCCCTCGCCGCACTGTGCTGTGACCTTGGGGTGCCACCAGGATAAGACTCCCCGGCCCGCAGGGGTGCGGTGAGACAATGTGTGAGAGGTGCTCAACCTCAGCGGTCCCCAGCCTCTCTGGCACCTGGGACCGGTTTCGTGGGAGGCAGTTTTCCATGGACGGGGGTGGGGGGTGGAGCTCAGGGGGTCATGTGAGCAGTGGGGAGCAGGATGCCTTGCCCACTGGCTGGCCTGGCCCGCTGCTCAGCTCCTGCTGTGCGGCCTGGTCCCGGGCTCCAGCCCATGGCCTGGGGGCTGGGGACCCCTGCTTACGACGGTGCAGGCCAGGCGTGCGTGAGTCATGCTCATCATCAGTGCCGGCGCTCTTTGGAGAACTGGGCGTGCAGCACAGCTGCACGGACGAGAACCGGGCCTTAGACTCAGCGCTGCGCCTGCGTCCTGGGCAGCCGCCTCCGAGCCACGTGACCTCGTGCGAGCTGCTTCGGCTTCTCGAGCTGCGGTTTCCAGTCCTGCAGGCTCACACCAGTCCCCGTCTCCCCGTGATGCCAGAGGAACGACAGGCCGTGCAGCAGTGAGCCCATGGCACTCACCAAGGACACAGGCTCACAGACGTGCTTCACGCTCGCCGTCAGTTTCTCTGCAAAGTGCGCGCACCCGCTGATCTATACACTGTGTTTCACTGATTCCTGCACGTACGCTTCCCACACTCAACCTCTGGAATCAGAATGAGCCTTAAAATCAGGTACCTTAACGTTATAACCTGTAGCATCTTTCCCTCTCAAACCAACACCCAGAACAGTAACACGTCGCTCAGGTTCCATGACGTGCACGCGCACCATGCATACATGTGGTTTGCAGGTCTGGCCACCACGACTCTGACAGTTACAAGTACCTTACGCAAGGCCACACGACTCCAAGAGACCACTCTGAAGTGATTAAAGTAGGAAAGTCATCTCGCTTTAATACAAAAGTCACGTTAGGCAAGTCAGACGCCCGCTGCGCGTCGGTGAGGTCCCCGGAATGCCAGCGCCATGCTCTCGGGCTTACGCCGTCTCCCCGTGGGCGGGCCGCGCGTGGGGCCGGAGGGGCGGAACCCTGAGCCCCTCCCGGCGGCTGACGTGGGCGGGTGGTGGCTGTGCTTTCTTCCGCTTTCCTGAGGCCACTCCCCCGCCCTGGCCAGGCCCCCGGGAATGTCCAGGTCTGCAGCCAGGAGACGGCGAACGTGAGAACCCCTCGTCCTTCCGCCTCGGACGGCTTTGAGGGGAAACAAGGCAGAAAGTGCGTGGGTCTGCGTGGCGCTGAGCGGATTCTGAGGTTTTCCTGCTGGGCTGCCTTCTCGAGTCTGAGAGCCGCTGCCTTAGATCTATGTCTGCTTCCCAGACCGGAAAGAGAACCTGGGCGGAGAGAGAGAGGGGTCAGAGGGGACAGGCAGGACGAAGCAGGGGGCCCAGGGCCCTCAGCGAGGCCTGGACGCAGCCCGGGCAGGCCCCTGACGCGGACGCTCCCTCTCACTGTGGACAGGGGCTGTCCGGGGCCCTTCACCCACCAGCTCAGAGCACATGCGTGCTGACCCCGGACCGGGAAGACCGCCAGCGTCCCCATCTTATAGATGAGCCAGCCATGGCTCCATGAGGTCAAGCGCCAGGCTGGGGTCACACAGAAAGTTGTGGACCCAGAGTCCACCCAACCCCTGCCCTCTACTAACAAACAGATGGACTTGGCCACATTTTGTTTTTTTAATTTTAGGTGGTTTTACTGTAGAGGACGCAACAGCTTCTTGATGTTACCTAAAATCATAAAGCAGACCTTTGAAAAAACAAAGACTGACATTTAAGCTCTGGGATAAGACAGAGAAAACACACAAAGGTGTCCACCCGAGACACGAAGAGCGAACTTTCGGTGTTGTTCCCCCGGCACCAAAGTTCGGGCAAGGAGGAGGTATCTGGGCTGACCACAAAGTGCCGTCTGGGAGCTGTTCCCGCCGCGAGCCCGGGGCTGTGGGCGGCCCTGCGAGGAACATGGGAGCCAGCCCTAGACTGGGGTGGGGCTCCGCAGCTGGTGCTCAGCCACCCCTCCCCCACCTGGTGCCCTCTCTCCGGAAGTGACATCACCCGCCACCCAGTCACTCCAGCCAGGAGTTCGGGAGTCGTGCTAGACTCCTCCCTCCCTCCGTTTGCTCCATTTGAGGCCTCTCACCCTGACCCCGTTCTGTCCCTGATCGCACCGCTTTCATCACCCTGTGGCCACCCCCAGTCCAAGCCGCAAGAGCCTCCCGGTCGCCCCCCACAACCCACTCGTAGCAGCCAGAACACCCTGTCACTACGCACAGCTAAGTCTCAGCTTCAGGCCCCCACAGCTCCGGGCTGCAGGACAAAGGCCAGAAGCCTCCTTCGCATGACCTGGTTCTCCAGAAAGTCATTCACTCATTCATTGGCTCGATAAGCGCGTCTGAGCAGGAAATCTCGGCCTCCTGCTCTTTATACGTGTGCCCACAGGCTGGCCAGTGGCCAGAACAGGCACTTTACTTTTGTTGCATCCGGCTCGAACTCCAGGAAGGAACCCAAAGAACCTCCCCAGAAGGGGCCGAAGGAAACCCGCCATTTATGCCCCCCACCCTCCCTGGAGCCTTCAGAGCGGGGCACTCGGCCAGCGGCAGTGGCTCAGCGGACCCCTTCACTCGGCGCCGGCACCGGGGTGGGTGGGGACGGTCCCGCGCGAGCCCAGCCACGGGAGTTCCTTCCTTGGGGCGGCCGCACCAAGGCCGGAGGCCCCGCTGGGACCCCGTGCCCAGTCCTTCCCACGGAGCAGCCCCATGGAGCCTTTGCAGGGAGAAGAGCCAAGCCCCTCCCAGCTCCAGACTCTCCCAAGGCACTCACGACAACCCTGCCGACCGACCCACCGGGCCTCTGCGACCTCGCCTCTCCCTGCTGCCCAGCGACCGAGCGCGGTCTCTGTCCGCAGAGCTCTCTCCAGCCTCGGGCGGTTACGGGCTCCCAGGGCTCGGCTTCAACGTCACCTCCTCAGAGGAGCCTTCCAGGGTGCCCCCTTCTCAGCAGCCCGCGCAGCCTCCCCCCAGCACCCTACATCCTAGCACGCACGGCTGGCCGGCTGAAACTATCCGGATACCACCCACCCCCCGACCCCCTCACCCCCGACTCCCCCACTCGAGTGAGAGCGCCGTGCGGGCGGGGCCTCTGCCCGGCTGACCGCGTGTCCAGCCCCAGGAAGGACGCCCGGTGCACATGGCCCTCAGCATCGACTTGTGAAAGGGACGGCCGAGTTTGGTTTCGGCCGGTCTTGTCTGACGGGGCAGCCCTCCCGCAGCCCTCCCACGAACGCCAGGCGGTGCGTGGCTGCAGCGGGTGCACACTCCCCAGGCCGTCGGCCCCTGAGACCCGTCTCCCGGCCTCTCCGCCCTGCTCTGCTCCAGGAGGCTGGTCTCTGTGGTGTTGTCCACGGGCCCGTCCTCCGGCTCCGGGCTGGGCTCAGCCGTGGCAGGCACCAGCAGAAGCAGGGAGGGGAGGTGGGGGGTTTGCTCCCGGGACTCCCGGCTATGCCCCTGCCAGGCCTGGTTTCACTAGTTTCAGCCCCTTTTTGGATGGCTGCATCCCTGACTGCCCCCCCACACACCCCCGCACCCTCTGTTGCCAAACCCTGGGTGCTTGCTTCTCCACCCTTGGATGGCTTCCTTAGCCCTGCCCACACACCTGTGAGGTGCCCCTTCTTTCCATCTCTTCAGTCACCCCTCCCGAGTGAGCCATAGGAACGGAAGGAAGGTCCCCTCGGTCATCGGCTGAGCGCCCCTCCCTCAGAGGCGGGGCTGGCGGAGGGAGAGCAGGGGGCAGCCTGCCACACGGGGACCCAGAGAAGCCTGCGGAGGGCCCCTCTGGGTCGCACAGTCTTTATTTTTTAAGTTATCTGCCAGCATTTGGAAGTCAGAGTCCATGCACAAATCTGGTTTCTTGGCCTGTCCTGAGAATCAGAAGCTCCAGCAGCACGTCACCCCTTGGCCGGAGAGAACCGAGGAAGGAACAAGTGTCCCCCCATGCCCCCCCACCCGCCCATCACTCATCTGCATTAAGGGCCTGGCCTGGAAGGCGTTCGAGTATGAAACCTTTAAACAAACGTGTTTCTAAGTTTCCATGGAAGAAACCAGGGGCTGGAAAACCGCCCCCGGCCCAGACGGTCGGAAAGCAAGCAAGGCGGTCCCTCTGCCTGGGGGGCAGGGGCTGGAGGAAAGGGGTGTCCTGTTACAACTGAGAAGGCACGTCCTCGAACCACTGGCGTGGCGTTTGACACGCTGGATTTTACACGGGCGCCCCGCACGCTACGGTTTGAGGCACCGTACCTGAAGGCACGAGGGGTGGACGATGGTGCATGAACTTGAGGGGGGTGTTCACAGGAAACTGTATCGCCTGTCCCAACATTGGGACACACGGGGTCCTCCAGAACAGGAGGAGAGAGGCGATGGGTTAGCCCCTTAGACTCCAGTGATTATTGTTTTTCTTGGGATATTATTATTATTTCTTGGCTATAGTTATTCTATCAGAGGGAGGCAGTGCAGTGTGGAATCTGGGCCTTCTTGGGTTCAAATCCCGCTCGGCTGTTTACTATCTGTGCGACCTCGGACGCACGGCTTCGCCCCTTGGTGGACGCCTACACAGTGGGGGTGACAGCGGCTCCTGCCTCACAAGGTCATTGTAATGAGCCGATGAGCAGATAGACACCCAGTGCTTAGACTCCTCCCTGGAGGCCATTACAACACGCGGGAACTGAGCTTGCTCATCAGTGGCCGCCCTACCACCAGCAGAGCAGGACCTCCCAGGCTGGCCAGCCTCCTCTCGCCCCCACTCCACCCTCTAGCATTTGCTTAGTGGCTGCAGGGCAGCAAGGTGACTTACAGCTTCCCTATGATGGTCTTCTCCTCCTTGCTTCTCCTGGCATTGCTGGCCCTCGCAACCGCAACCAGAGTTTCCTGTCCTCTTCTTGCTCCTGGGCCTTCTCTGGGTGGAATCAGGCCACTGGAGAAAGGGGGCAAACCAATGGGTTGTGTTATTGCATTCTTATCTGTGCACCTTTGAAAGCAGAGAATCTTAATATTATCATTTTATGATTTTAGCACGGAAAGCTCTGGAGTCAGAAAGATTCTGACCCGGATAAGGAGACTCTCCGCTCCACATCCCCGATGTTGACGCCTCTCCTTTCTTTCTCTTGTCTGATTGCATTGGCCAGTAGTTCGAGCTTCTCCACTTTGCAGGAACATGACCACACGTAAGTTCTCTAACTTAAGCTTTGATTTCCTCAGTGGTAAAATGAGGATGACGAGAGCACATACCTCCTAGAACTGAGGGGCTAAGTGAGACAAGGACACAGGGCACTCCTCCGTTCAACAGATATTTATCAGGCTCCGCGATGTTCCACGGTGCCACCGATACACGGCGGTGAGCAAAACAGAGAAGGTATCTCCTCTCATGCAAATTACTTTCCAGTAGGGAAGAAAACAGTCAGTGAAAAATAAATACGTAGAATAGAAAATACGTAGTAAGTCAGATGGCAGCAAGAGCCAGATCGCTGTCAAGTGACGAGACACTGAGGTCAGGTGGCCCACGGGGGCCAGAGCACTTCTCCCTGGACCCGCTGTGCGGAAGCAGGAAGAAGGCTGTTCTCTCGCGTGCTCGGCTGGGGCCGCCAGCAGTCACATTCACTAAGATTCAGAGAAGGGCCATCTGTCCTACAAGATGAGGACGAAGAGAAGCACAGGGCAAAAAGAGAGGCAGCCAGCCCCTGGTGCCAGTCCTGCGGCCTCAGGCGCAGTTTTTTCTTTATTTCTGAGAGCAACCCCAGGAGCAACCCCAGCTGTGAAGGCCGATAAATTCCCTTTCGTCCTTAGTAGTTTGAATTGCACTTCTGTCACTTGCAAGCAAAAGAGGCCTGACCACAACGAAGAATTTTTCCTTTTTTTTTTAAAGATTTTATTTATTTATTTTTAGACAGACAGGAAGAGAGAGAGAGAAACATCAACGTGTGGTTGCCTCCTGCACACCCCTCACTGGAGAACCTGGCTCACAACTCAGGCGTGGGCCCCGACTGGGAATCGAACCCGTGACCCCTTGCTTCGCAGGCCCATGTTCAATCCACTGAGCCACACCAGCCAGGGCTGGCTTCTACTTTTTATACAGCTTAAAGCTGACAGAGAAGTTGGAAGATTAGTAAAAAATATTTCTCCAATACTTTCCCCAGATCCCCTAACTATCTACTTGTCCCGTTCCCCCCTCCATACACCCCCCACACACACACACACACGCCTATCTCTCTGGACACCTGAGAGTAAGTAGGAGACACCTTACTCCTTTATGCCTGGAGAACTCAGTGTACATTTTCCAAGGACAAGAATATCCTCTTACATAACCAAATACTTCGGTTATCAAAATGACCACATCGATCGTTTAAGAATAGGAAATCGGACCTCGTCATTCCCTTGATTAAAACTTCCCGGTGACTCCTCGTCACACTTACACTAAAATTGGAGTTCCTTCCTGTGCTCTCCCCAATCTCTTCCTGACCACCCCATCCGGTGCTTCCCGACCTGCTGTGCTGGGTCTCAGACAGGGGCCCTGCCGGCTCCGCCCCCAGCCTTTGAACTTCTTGCTCCACTCTGGTCCCATTAAGTCTTTACATGGTTGGCTGCTTCTCGTCATTCCCCCAGAGGGCCCCTCCCCCAACGCCCTCTGCGCTCAGTGGGGGTCCTGTCCCCATCTTATCTTCTCTGGAGCACTCCCTCCCGCCAGGGGCCGGAGGGTCTGCCGCAGGCTTCCTCGCCACCTGGCCTGCCTTTCCTCCCCGGGCCGAGCACACACTTCCTGTATGTGGGTCCCCGCTACACCCCCACTGCCAGGAACCCCAGGTCTCGGGTGAATCAGTCGAGTGACCTTACGAACACACACGTGACACGGCAAGGGAGGGGTGTGGGGCCCACCTCTTGTAGCACTGCAGCTCCTCCTGCGCCAGCAGCAGCTGGGCCTTGAGCTTGTTGCGCTCCTGCAGCACGTCCCGCAGCTCCTGGAGGGTGAAGCGCGGGCGGCCGGGATCCCTCAGGTCAACCACCATCTTGTCTGGCCCCAGGGTCACCTGCGGGACAGGACGGCACGCATGCAGTTTCCCTCACGAGGATGGACTCTCCGTCCCAGAAAGCGAAGTCCTCTGGCCGTGTTACTCCCCGGGCCCTGGCCTTGCAAGTGTTTGCTTGGTCGTCAAGAGGCAGAAGTACATTCCCTAAGAAAAGAACCACGGCTCCTGGGGAGCTGGCTGATACCCCCCCAAAACCCCAGAACCCTCGGGCTGAACAACTGGTAACACTGTGCAATGGAAGTTTTCAAAAGCCATTCGAGGATGAGAGAGCTCTTTCTATGGGGGCTAGTACGACGTCCATGCCACGTTAAGTGAAGCTAAGCAAGAGGCGGAACAGACTACATGTTATAACACCATTTGTGTAAGATATGGAAAACAGATTCATGTCTGCTTGTGTTTGCGTGAAGTATCTCTGGAAGGACGTGCAAGAGACAGCATTTACATTTTCCCAGGGCGGACAAGAGCGATGCTGGAGGGGGGAAGAGATGGGGAGGGGGTGTTTCAAGGCAAATACGGTTGCCCCTTTTAAATTTTGAACTTAAAGTTTTTTTTTAAAAAATGGAAAAAACTGCCTGGCACCCACCCGCTGGGGTGGCTACTCCAGACAAAGGGAACCAAAATAACGAGTGCCGACGAGGACGCGGGAGAGCGGGGGCTCTGCGCCGAGAGCGGGAATGGAAAAATGGCGCCGTCCCTATGGCAACCTGGACGGCGGCTCCTTAAACAACTAAAAATAAAGTGATTATACAGTCCAACAACTCCACTTTGCGGTATATGCCCAAAAGCATCGAAAGCGGGGACTCGAAAAGGTGTCTGCAAACCCGCGTTCACAGCAGCACTCTTCACAACAGCCAAGGGGCGGCGGCCACCCAACTGTCCATCAACCGATGTGGCCCGCCCCCGCCCCGCCCCCCGCCCTGGAATATTGTCCAGCCTTCAAAGGGAAGCACGTTCTGACACCTGCTGCAACGTGGGAGGCCCTGGAGAACCTCAGAACAGTAGGCTGAGTGAAATAAGCCAGTCACAAAAGGGTAAATGTTATATGAGTGCATTTTCAGGAAGTACCTAAAATAGGCAAATTCATAGAAATAGAAAGTACAACAATAGTTACCGAAGGCTGGGGGCTGGGGGGTGGGGAGCTGCTGTTTCACAGGGACCTCAGTGTTGCAGGATGAAGACTTCTGGGGGGGGGGCGGTGACGGTCGCACAGCCATGCGAATGTGCTCAGTGCTACTGGGTCTTCAAATGGTTAAGACGGCACACTTTGTGCGTACTTTATCACAAGCAGAAATAATAGTTGAAAAAGAAAAACAAACGAGGCGTACTTGTGTGAACGGTCTAAAGGCAGTAAACATTCGTTCTCGCTGCCTCTTCTCCCAGCACCGCCCCTAAGGCTGGGCTTGGGGCTGGGGGGGGCGTGCCACACCCTCTGCTGGCTGGTGGGGGCGTCCACTGCGCCTCGAGCAGGAAGCCACGGGCCCCTGGGCGGACCACACTGCCACGGTCCACCGTGGGACTCGTCTGCGTCCCTGTGCCTGCATTCGAAGGGGACGATGGAACACGGATGTGAGCTGAGCGATGAGGGGCGCGTCCTGGGGCTGCTCTCGACTCTCAAAAGCCACTACTCATCGTGATGCGATGGGTACAAAAAGCAGAACCTTCCCTGTGAATGCAGCTGTCACCATGACTAATGAGGAGGAGGAGGGACACCAGCGCACCCGGGAGGCTGCCAGAGACCCGTGGGAGCTCTCACCTCTCCCACCAGGCGGGAGCTCTGCAAAGGCAGGGGCCCGGTCTGGTTTACTCCCACGGCCCCCGAGCCACACGGTGCGGTCACTCACCGAGTGTCAGTGCAACGAAAAGGTCAAGGGCCTGTTGGAGTACAGTGTGGTTAAACCCAGCATCTCCGAGTTCGAACCCTGCCTCCACCACTAACTTGATCTCGAGCGGGTAAATCACTCACCTGTCCTGCGCCTCCCTTTCCGAGAGACGGGGATGATACGGCGTGGGGGTTAAACGAGAGAGCCCGCCCAGGGCAGAACTTTTCTAAGCTGCGGCTGGAGACCCACTGCAGAGTAGGATATTAATTTAGTGAGTCACACAGAGAGTTTAAAAACTCATAAACCAGGAAAGTAAGACTGGGCATCATGGTGCACTGGGGTAAACTGTTCCTTGAGATGTAATTGTGTGCAGTGGAGGTGTCACACACGCACAGCACAGTGCACGGATCTCGGGTTTACGGCTCCTTGATGGCGGCCGTGAGTACACAGCCCTGCAGCCACGACCTGCTCCCTCCCGCTCCCTCTCACTGTCCCCTCCCCGGGGTCAGCATCAGCCTGCCCTCTGTAAGTCAAGATTACTTTGCCCGTCCTTGAGTGTCACTTAAAGTAGGCTCTCTTTTGTGCCTCTAATTCTCAGTGTAACGTGGCGAGAGCGGCAGCACGGTCCTTTCCGGTGGCTGGGCAGTATTCCACTGTGTGGCTACACCTCAATTTAAAACTCCACGCACGCCTCTGGTGCGCTTGGATTCTTTACAGTTCAGCGCGTTTATGAATAAAGCTACTCTGAATATTCTTGCATGTGTCTTCTTGTGGTCATAAGCACTCATTTCTCTTTAGTTAAATTTTATTTCTTTTTTTAGAAGATTTTATTTATTTACTTTTTTTAGATAAATGGGGAGGGGAGGGGGAGGGAAGGGGGAGGGGAGGAAGAGCTACATCTATGTGCAAGAGACATCTGCTACCTCTCACATGCCTCCAGCTGGGGGCCTGGTCTACAACCCAGGCATGTGCCCTGACGAGGGATCGAACTAACGACCTTTTGGTTTGCAGGCCAGCGCTCAATCCACTGGGCCACACCAGCCAGGGAAAATCTTATTTCTTAATCAAGGTCAAGGATAGTCAAAAGTGCGATGCCTAGGCCAACAGCATCTGCATCACGCGGGAACTTGTGCTCAGGTCGCAGTCCGGACCTTCCAAATCAGACACTGGGGCCCGGCGGCAGTCTGAGTTTTACGGAACACCCTGGTGATTGCGCTGCCTGCTAAAGCGTGAGAACCGCTGCTCTAGGTCATGGTCAAAAAGACCACAGGCCACCCATTCGGAACACACTCAGCACAGGGCCCAGCACGCACGCGTAGTAAGGGCTCCGTAAATGTTTACAAGCATAGTGTCTCCAATCCGAGAGCTGGACCCTCACAGTGATCTGCTTGGAGGGCCGCGGATGTTCCAGACTGGAAGGGGGCCTCCCCGCCCGTGGGCGCTGCCCCGCGCGCCCCGGATGCGGTGTGCGGCCGCCCTCTCTCCGCACTCACCTCCGGGCTGGCCTCCGAGCCCTGCCGCCGCAGCCCCTCCACCTCCTTCCGCAGGCTGTCCCGCTCCAATCTCAGCTCCTCTGCGGTCAGGCTGCCCTCCGTCACCAGCGTCTCCAGCATCTCCAGGACGCGGACGATTTTGAACTGCAGCTGTGTCACCCGGGGATCGCTGCCCAGGGCCATCAGCTCACGGCCCACCACGTAGGAGATGTCGTACACATCCTCGGTGGTTAGCTGGGAGGGGCTCTTGCTGAGAGCCCCCTCGGGCCCAGCCTCGTCCCCCTCCTCTTCCTCTTCTTCCTCCTCTCGCAAAGGGGCTTCTTCCATGGCCGCACGGAGCCCTGCAGCCTCGGAGTCTCCGGACGTGCAACTTCTTCCGGACGCAGAAAACTTTCCGCCGGCGGAGGACCCTGCCTGTCCGCGGGGGTGGTCCCGGGGCGGCCAATCGGCACGGCCGAGGGGTGAGGGCGCGGATAGGGGGGCGCCCGGCGCCCCGAGCTCTGTCCCGCTGCAGGGGAGCACCTCCAGGATGTGGCTGGTGGCACCAAAGGTCCTCGGAAAGGCTGGGCAGCCGAAAAGAGGAACGGAGAGGTTACGGCGTAGCGGAGCTGGCTCCCTGCCTGGGAGCTATTGCAGACTGGGGGCGGAGCTGCGGCTCGCGGCCCGCCCCTGGAGACGGCCGCTACTCCCCGGGCAACCACGGCGGAATTTCCCACGCGAGGCAGGGAAGGGCGGCAGAAAGCACCGGCGTTTTCCTTCCCACACGCTAGCGTCCCGGTCCTAGACTTTGCGTTGCGCCTGGGGGAAAGGCTGCGTCTCTGGGGTGTTTTTGAAAGTCGGCGACAAAAGAAAGCAGTGGGGGTCTGCGCCGCCACGAAGCTCCCAGGCCGACTGTCGCCGCTCTGTGCAATGGAGACTCCGTGCGCTGTGCGTTCGCTGGTCCCTCAACCAGCGTCGTGGCCTTGGCCTAGTTACTTAAGTCCTCCGAGCCTCGGTTTCCTCCTCATTCAGTAACAGTGCCCCCAAGTGGGAGGGCTGCTGCCAGGAGCCTGTCAGATGAGATCAGGAGACAGTGCGTGTCACAGAAAAACACTTAGCAAGAGCTCAAAAACGTCAGCTAGCATTCTTCTTTCTTAAAAAATAGGAGATAAAAACCAGTAAGCTCGCGTGCCAGAAGCTTGGCACAAGGGTTGTGGGGGGGGTGGGGATAAACCAGACGACACTCGGTCGGCTGTGAAACCAGGAAGCACCCACAGCTGTGCGGGGCACAGCGAGCGTTTAGCCCGCGGACTGCGGAGGAGTTGCCTGCGCCGGGGGAGGGTCGTGCCAGGGTGCAGCCCCAGCGATGGAGCTTGTCTTTCCCAGGGGTGGACGGCCAGCTTTCCTCGAGGCAGCCGCCCCCGACTTTCGCCACACCGAAGTTCCAGAATCGCCCTGCAGAGTGGACAAGGACGAAAGAAAGGACAAGGCAAGCAGACACTGTGTCCAGAGGGTGCAGCGTTCCTGGTGGAAGGGAGGCACCTGGCAGGGGCTCAGTGATCTATCCGCCCAGTGCTGCCACACCGGTGGGCTAGATGCCCAGGTACCATAGACACTAGGCTTCCCGCAGATAAAAATGGTACAGCCACACAATGGAGCATTATTCAGCCATAAAGGCCATGCAAGAGTGGATTGAGCACTGGCTCGTGAACCGAAAGGTCGCCAGTTCGATTCCCAGTCAGGGCACATGCCTGGGTTTCGGGCCAGGTCCCCAGCTGGGGAGCGTGTAAGAGACAACAGTGGATGTTTCTCTCCCTCTCTCTCTCCCTTATTCCCCTCTCTCTAAAAATAAATAAATAAAAACAATCTTAAAAAAGAAGAAGAAGAAGCAGGAATGAAGGAATAGACTAGGGAGCCCGGAAATAAATCCGTCAGATGGTTTTCAACAAGGCGCGAGACCGTTCCCTGGGGGAGGGAGAGTTTTTTCAACACATGGTGCTGGGACTCCTGGACACCCACCCGCGTGTCAAAGTGTGGGCCGGGTCTCTGCCTTACAGCACGGGCGGCAGACAGGCCAACGCAAGACCCGTGGGCCCTCCACCTTGTTCTATCCGGCCGGCACCTTGTTCTTACCTGGTGGCGGCTGAGCTCTCGCTGAACTGTTAAGGAGTGGTTACATTTACACAGTCCTGAAACTACACGTTCGGCCCTTTGAAGGCGACCGCGAGGCTGCTGTGGCCCCCGGTGAAAATGATTTTGACACCCCTGCCTCATACCATCCAGAAACATTACCTGAAAATGGATCAAAAACCTAAACCAAGAAAACTTAGAAAAAAACATAGGGGGACAGCCTTATGCAACTGGATTTCTTCAAAACCACAAGCAACAAAAGGAAAATAATGCACATTTAAAACCTGTGCATTAAAGAACACAATTAACAGAGTGAAAAGGCAACCTACAGAATGAGGGACAGTATTTGCAAACCATGTGAACAAGGGGTTAGTATCGAGAGTATATGAAGAACAACACAATGCATTAACAACAACAATAACAGCAACAACAAAAACCCAAGTAACAGACAAAGTACAAATCCATGCAAAATCCCCAGCAACGTACTATTAGCAGAGAGAGTTCAGCACAACACAACAAGTGCCATATACCGCGACCAACAGAGGCTTACTCCAGGCATGCAAGGCTAGTTAAAAGAAGTCAGTCTATGCCGTCCGCCGCCGTACCAGGCTAAAGAGTCTATGCGCAGAAGAAGTTGCCAGAGCAATGAAGGAGCTCACAGTTGCGGAATACAAGGTCAATGCGCAGAACCTAACTGTGTGTCTATACACTTGCCAGAAACAATCTGAAGAGAAATTAAGAATATTCCGCTTACAATGACATCAAAAAGAATAAAGGACTAAGAAACAAATTCGACAAAAGAACGAGGCGTGTACACCAGAAACTGGGAAACCTCACTGAGCGCAGCGAAAGGCCCGCGCAAACGGAAAGACGTCCTCCCTGCGCACCGGGACACTGCATGCGGCTGAGACGGCGCCTCTCCGTGTGACATCTCCAACCGATCCAGAGTCAGGAGAATTCCCGTCAAGATAAGTGCAGAAAATAGCTAACACGACACTCTCGGCAGGCCTGAGAATGCTGTCATCTGAAATCCAACCTGCAGGCTGGCCTTTGGCTGGGTTCTGGGAGCTTGATTTGGGGAGGGTCCCCACCACCCCAACTGGTGAGAGTAGCCCACTGTGCCTCAACTGTGTGCGCCAACGCCACAGTTTGTGGAGCGCCCCGGCTGTCCTCTGGGAGCCTGGGCCTTGGGTGTGTGCCAGGCAAAGGGCGCCTGCAGGACCAGCCCCATGAAAGCTTCGGCACAGAGTGTCCGAGGGGCTGCCCGAGGAAACAGCATTTCACACGTGGGCCACGCTCCTGCCGGGCGGCGATGCTGAGCCAAAGCAGCCAATCACAAGGACCTCGCCCTGTGTGCTTCCACGTCCAGGAAGCGCCCAGAACAGGCCAGTCCACAGAGACGGGGACAGCACGGTGGCTGCCTAACACTGGCAGGCTGAGGGGTGCGGGGCCTGGGGGGAGATAGCCAAGGGGCGTGGGGTTTCTGTGTGGGATGATACAGATGTTCTAAAACTGACTATGGTGGTAGCTCTGTAAATATACCAAAAGCCCTTTCAAAATTTATTTTTATTTTTTTATTTTTAAAGATTTTATTTATTTATTTTTAGAGAGAAGGGAAGGGAAGGAGAAAGAAAGGGAGAGAAACATCAATGTGTGGTTGCCTCTCATGTGTCCCCACTGGGGACCTGGCCTGCATCCCAGGCATGTGCCCTGACTGGAAGTCAAACCGGTGACCCTTTGCTTCACAGGCCTGTGATCAATCCACTGAGCTACACCAGCCAGGGCAAAATTTCATATTTATTGTATTTTTTCTGTTACCACTTATCCCCCTTTTACCCTCTTTCACCCCCACCCATTCACCCCCCCCTGCCAAAAAATCTTTGAATTGTACACTTTAAGTGGGTGAGTTATATGGTATGTGAATTATACTTTAATAATCCATTATTGAAAAATAAAAGAAAAATGGCAAAGAACTTAAACAGACATTCTTTCAAAGATGTACAGGTGGCCAATGAGCACAGGAAAAGATGCTCAGTGTCACTAACTGTCAGGGAAACGCACGTTGGAACCACAGTGCGATGTCTCCTCACACCCATTAGGATAATCACTACTTTCAAAAAAAGGACAAAAAGAAAAAAAATTTTAAAAAACCTAAAATCACACGTGCTGGCGAGGATGTGGAAAAGCTGGAACCCGTGCGCACGGCTGGTGGGAAGGTGAGACGCAGCCACCGGGGGAAACTCCCTCGAAAACTTGAAAGCGGAATCGCCGGACGGTCCGGCAACGCCATCGAGTGCGTTCCCCAAAGAACTGAGAGCGGGTCTCCGAGAGGGATCGGCATGCCCCTGTTCACGGCAGCACGGACTCCCACTGGCCAACAGGTGGAAGTCACCCAAACGCCTGCCCACAGACGAGCAGGTAAACCAAGTGTGGTATGTACATAGCGTACAACATAATCTTAATCAGCCTTAAAGGATGGAAATTATGACGCAGGCTGTAGCGAGTGAACCTTGACGACATTATGCTGGCTGAAATAAAACAGTGCCCACAAGGTAAACACCGTATGACTGTCCCTACGTGAGGGGCAAACTTAGAAACAGAAAGCAGGATGGTCTCGGGGGCTGGGAGGAGGGCAAGAAACGGCTGCTCCGTGGACACGGAACTCGGGGCTGGAGGGATGAGAAAGTTCTGGAAGCTAGCTGCACGGCGTGTGCATGCTCAATGCTACTGAACCACGCACTTCAAAGTGGCTAGGGTGGTGAAGTTTTAAAAAGATTTTATTTATTTACTTTCAGAGACAGAGGAAGGGAGGGAGGGAGAAAGAAAGGGAGAGACGCAGCGATGTGGGAGAGATACATGAGTTGTCTCTCATGTGCCCCCAGCTGGGGACCCGGCCCGCAACCCACGCATGTGCCCTGACCGGGAATCCACCTGGTGACCTCCTGGCTTGCAGGCCGGCGCTCCATGCCCTGAGCCACACCAGCCGAGGCTGAGGCGATACATTTTATGCTCTGTATACTTGACCCGAGTTTTAAGGGGGCTCTCTAGAGCGCTGAAAATGTGCCATATCGCAATTGCAGTGGAGGTCAAATGAGTACACACACAGGTAAAAAGTTGAGGTGCTGCATGCAATATTGCGCATTTCTTTCAGGTAAATACCTTGATAAAGTGCTGGTAGGGGCAAGGAGGCAGGAAAGATGCACTGACACGTGAGACAGTGTGGGTGAACCCTGACCCCTCTTTGCTATGTGAAAAACGCCAGCCAGAAAAGGCCAGGAACGGTGTGATGTTATTTACGTGAACTGTGCAGAATGGCACATCTGTTCTGTGGAGACAGGAGGTAGATCGGCCCTGACCTGCGTGGCTCAGTTGGTTGAGCATTGTTGGGGACCGCCCTGCCTGGTATCAGAAGCTGTAACCCCTGCCAAGGCTAAGGCTGAGGGAATGACCTTGGACCGTAAGCCACCAAGGAGACAAAAGCTTATCTCCCTGGCAGGAGCACCGCTTCTGCTCCTTTTGCTTCATCCATAACTGGCCCCCAATGCTTGGTCGGTTAGCCAATGACG